CGGTGTGGTTCGAAGACGAACCAGACGGAAGCTGGACCTGTGATATCCTGAGCTATAATGAGGGTTGGGAGTGTTTGTCGGTGCCATGGTACGATCAAGGAGTGGCTCCCCGAGTATTACTAAGGCCAAAGAGATACAAGAGTGAATCGAAAACACCCAAATGAGAAAGATTTGAAGGTTATATATGTATGAAACTATACGGTGTAAGATAACATAAAAAAAAATATTTTTTGGACTACTCATAACAATAACTGTGACTTATTGAAAAATGTCTCGATATGTATGCGAGTGAGAACAAAATACGTTGGAAGATCATGCTATGTGAAGGCAGTTTCGATATTTTGTACCAGCTGCGGGTGATTACAGTATTGATTAAAAAAACCCATTTAGTATAGAGCCGACAAGGATGCTTCTTATATTCATGGCAAAATAATATATTTTTGTCAAATAATAATGATTTTATATGTCTTTGTATATAAATATCAGTGTGTAAACTCTAAATATATCTAATGTGATCAATTTTACATCGTTTCTATCTTCTCTTTCTCCGTTTGCTTTTCTTACCACTTGGACACAAATTTAAAATTAAAAAATTTCATGTCATCTAAATCTATATTGAAATATGTAAATATTAAGATTCAAAATCTGTATCTATAAAATTTTGTAATGAACTTACATTTCTTTAAAAATTAAAGATAATTTTAAAATTTTAACAAGTATATAAAAAATATTTTCATTTTTAAGAAATATAAAAAAATAATTCTATAATTTTAATAAAATTAAATATAATGTTATAATATTTATAAAAATATCGGATATTTACTTATATTGATCGCAAAATGGAAGATAATTTCGATTTATAAACCATTCGAATCCTAATTCAAACCGAATTATATATATATAAATTAATTATTTTACTCATATCAACCCCTTATTATAGAATATAATTGTTTTCCTTTAGCATTCTTTTTTTTTTCCTCCTCGAAAGATAAAAGGATAATCTAAATTTTAACTAAAAAATGGGATTAATTGTTTATAACTGTTGACTGATTTGATTAGTTAGTGCTAATTAATTAGCAAAAGACTAATCTGTCAACAGTGAGGATCTCTCAGGTGACTATCGGATTTTTAGCTGTTCCCGACAACGAACAAAGTCAATCTCATTATATTATCGAAAGCATTGCCATATGTGATTACATATTTTTAATACAACTAATATTAATTCCAACTATTCAAACTTTAATATATTAATAAAACATATAATAATCGAAATATACTTGTATTGCCGCAATTCAATACCTTATCCGAGAACAATATTTTATGAGAACAGTTAACCAAAAAAATATATTTATGAGAATTTAACTAAAAAAAATATATATATTTATGAGAATAGTAAGAGTATCATGAACCCTAGGGAGCTCATGTACATATAGATATAGTCACTTCTGGTCGAAACCCATCCACAGTTTTGCACATTTTATCGATGCATGATCGTATTTTAAGCTTGTTAATGAAGTTATAGTGTTGTTATCTTTTTATGTGAAGAAAAAAAACGCAAAAGTATTAATGAATCATTATTTCATAGAAAAAAAAAAAGAACTAATAGAAGAAGAAGAAAACGTCGCAGAGAGCATTATGGAGGAAGAGAATGACACATTATTGAAAGGAGAGATAATAAAGCGTATTAGAATATATATTTTTGGTTAAATGTTGATTTAGGTGATTTCGGTTTGGTTTAGTTGGTTGGGGTTTGTGTGGTATTTCTTTCTTTTATCCTATTGTATTTAAGGCCCCATGTTTCATTTTGATCAATACACGAGAAAATTCCAAACTTCTCTCTAATTCTCTAATATCAAAATGGTATCAAAAACCTTAGATCCTTTTCGTCGATTTTGTTTTTCCTTTATTGATTTTGATTTCCCTTCGGCGTTTTCTCCTTCGTTTTTTTGTTGGGGTTTGATAGTTTTCTGGGTATGGAAGACTGAAGAAGAAGGAAATGATGAAGATGACGATAGGGATGGACATGGATCGGGTACCCGCGATTTTGGAGATACACGTCTTCGTCTTCATTTTCACGGGTTCCATAAAAACAATGTCTTATTCTCTATCTCATTAACACCGGATACCCGTTAATCGGGTACCTGTGATTAAGAGACGGGTATCCACGGATACCCGTACCTGTAAAATATATATTTTTTAAATAAATATAAACCAAATATTTAGTAAACTTATATTATTTAATTCAAAAATATATTTAAAATATAAAAAATATATATATCTTTGAATATATAGATATTTAAAAGTTTTTTAAATATATATGTTAATTTTTAAAAGTTAAAACCTAATATTTAAATAAATAATTTAAAAAATATAGAAATATTTAATATTTTTATATATTTACGGGTATCCGTGGGTATCCGTCTTCGTATAAATGAAATTTGTACCCGTTTTCGTTGTCATTTTTATGTATCTGTCTTCGTCTTAATTCAGAGACGAGTATCCATTTTTCGGGTATCCACGAGACCAGATAGTCGCAAATCCGTGGATAACGGATATAAATGCCCAACCCTAGATGAGGACGGTGGTATATTGCACAAATGGTGCAAAACCTTCAAAATTTCTCTGTTTCTAAAGCTCACCCACATTTTTATTTTTTTTTTCCTCATTTTTTTTCAGTCTCATCTCCCATTTCACGGGTAAATTTCATGAACCCTAACATTTTTTTTATATAGGAAAATACAACCTAATAAAATGTCATAAATCCTCAATTGTTTTAAAAGATGAGTCTAACATTTGACCACACGACCCAAGATCAGATAGCTCATAGGGGAGTAAAGCTTCTTCATAAGCCATGTTTAATCTCTATTTGACAAAAAATATTTATCCGATCTTCTGAAAGATATAATTAAACCGAAAACTTGATAAACTTTCATATAAAAAAAACATTTGACCACACAAAAATACTAAAAAATTAAAATCAATTAAAAGAACGCACAGACACAAAAACATGAAAAAAAATACAAGATTAATTTTCAAAATTATACATCTACTTTTTTGATGTGTTTATATATGGTAACATGTTGAGAATAGTGACAATCAATTGGTTTTAACCGGCACCAGCAGAATCGATTCCAAAACGAGCATCTTCCAATCCAATTTTGTTTGTTAACCCTTCAAATTACTCAAACATTTATTCTAATTAAATGATTACAACAATAATTTTGTAAAATTTAGATTTGATCATAGTTTTATCTTTTAAATATTTGTACTACGTGTGAATAGAATTTCATAAGACATAAATACGGATAATTCAACCGGTAAAAATGAGACGTTTAGTGTTTGCCTCGTCCTTAATTCGAACCTTTAAGTTTGGAGAACGATATTCACATACTTTTCCGTGACGGTATTTCGTCGCCATATAGTTCTTGCTTGTGAAACCTAGAAATGTGTTGATGTCTATGGTTTTTTTTTTTTTACAAGCAAACCTATTTGAACGGTCCACTCCTTTTCCAACACGAGTGTTTTTAACGTGAAAGCATCTTTGACATGGAAAGCGTACGCCATCTCAATTTTATTTTTTTGGATGTTTGTACTCTTTGTTTATATATATATATTTGTATTCAAATCGGATATCATTTAAAAATTTGATCGGATATGAAATTGATTAAAATCATAATTGAATATAAAATAATCGAGAATCAGACGAAAAACGAAGAATTTCTTTATAAAATTAGATGTTTTTGAAAAATAAAAATTGAATTTGATCCGAATAAAAATACTAACCATCCAATCAAAAATCGATAAGGAAATAGATCGAACAATTTTTATAGAATCGAAAAATCTAGCCTCAAAATAAAAGAGTAACATACAAAACCAAACTGTCTACCCATTTTTAGAATATTTAGCACATGAAAACGCTTTGAATCTTGTCGGTTCATAAATGATAATATATCCTAATATTGTTTAAAAAAAAATAAAAGGGAGCCTCGACAAGGTGTTGCCGTTGTAACCTTGAGGTCACCGGTTCGAGTTCTGAAAGCAGCCTCTTATAGAAATATCTGTAAGATAAAGTTTATTTACAATACATCCTTGTGCATCCGCTGTCCTTAATTATTTTTTAAAAAATGGGGTGTCTAAATATTAAATATATTTATAGAACAATATCCAAAATTATTGTATATTTAGATTTGAATTATTTTTTATTTTTTTAGTTTTAGTGTTTCATTTATATGATATAATTAGGTTTTATTAAGATTTATACTTTGGCTCTATAAATACTATGGCTTAATTCTACAATAATTATCTCTAATAATATTTTTCTTCTACTACTTATCATTTTCTACGTGTTTGTTTATACGATGAACTAAGTACGTACCTTTGTTAGCATGGATCTTTTAATAACTTACAAGTTCTACACCAAATTCAATCGTCAATCTTAGAGATGAGCTCGTTATTTAATTAAATTAATTTTTTAAAAACTCGCAATAAAAAATTATACACATGTTTGGATTTTAATTTAACATATAAAATTTTGTTTTAAAAATACAAGAGTATTTTTTGTGTTCTTTCATATGTTAAGAGTAATACTTTCGGTAATTTATAAATTTAATGTTAATTTTAATCATTTTGTAAAATATATGGTTTGGATTTTACCCCAAAAAATTAAGAAAATTGTTGCATTTTTTTACACATTTAACGTAATTTAGAAAACTGACATAGTCACTTAAGGATATGATAACATAATCCATAAAAATATTAAAAAATTTACATATCATTTTATCCACCGATGTATATCCAATATACACACACACATATATATGTATATGTATCGACGTTTGTTTTAAGCCTCGTATCGTATGACGTCACTAATCTCTCTGCCACAATTTCGTAGCCACACACGTCACCAACTACCAGTACAGCTTAGCATACAACCCTGACGTTATGCTAAACTGCGCAGGAATAGTTAAGTCTTATAGCCTTCACCCACCTCTCGCCACCACTTGCTTTGTTTCTGCATTCGGAATTAAAGAATTTTTTCCTCCCTACTGTGTTCGTTTTCCCAGAAAATCAAAGCAAAAAGAATTTCCTGCCCGATTCTCTGCCATTATCGCCCCTCCCTTGTTTGGGTTTTTGCTGGAAAATGAAATTTTGTTGGAATTGAAGTGAACTGGAGAGAAAGAACCTGGTGAACGAAAATGGCTTCTCTTGAAATTGTGAAAATTTGGGTGTCCCCTGTTTCAGTTTCCCGCCACGATTCGCTGTTGAAATTAGAGCCCAGGAAAAGGGTTTTCAGATTCTCCAATTCTAGGAGGAATCATCGTCTCCGAAGAGGTCTTAGGGTTTGTTCGTCTGCTCAAGAGAACGGTGATAATCAAGCAAAAGGTCAGATTATGTTATTTTTCTCTGTTTGTCCTGAGTTCTATTTTTTTTTAATCTGAAAATCCCATGCCAAAGAAGACATGGAGTATTGGGTTTTTGCTGTGAATATTGTGTGAAGCTCAAAAGGGTTGTTTGGTTGGTGAGAAAGTGCGGGAAAGTATAATCAGAGTAGATGTTGTGAAGAAGAGAATTGATAGATAGAGAGGAAGTTGTTTGAGAATTCGGTTCCTCAATAGTTTTCAAAGCGACAGGAAATTGGTTCTACAAGAGTTTGATTCAAGTGATATTGTCGGTTCTTTTAACTTGTGTCTTTTCTCAGAGGAGGAAGGATCAAAAGGTCAAAATGATTGTTTGGTTGGTGAGAAAGTGTGGGAAAGTATAATCAGAATGAATGTGTTCTGAACTTGTGAAGAAGAATATTGATAGACAGAGGAAGTTGTTTGGGAATTTGGTTCCTCAAATAGTTTTCAAAGTGACAGAAAATTGGTTCTGCAAAAGTTTTTTGATTCAAGTGACTTAGTTTGTTCTTTCACCATTTTCTAAAAACACTAAAGTTCCCTTTTTTTCCCGGATATGTGTTCATATTCAGCATAAGAAATATGTGTACAAATAGTTTGCATCAATAGGTTCTAAAACACCCTTTAGGTCGCAAAACTGATTCGTAGGACAAAGTCTCCATTTAGACCCCTAAAAGACCAAATCGATTTGTATCCATTGATCAATGTAATGTTGTTTCTTTAATATCGAAGGCGCAATGAGTTAACGTGCTTCATGAGTGATGGGAATTCGATGGAAAGATTAATTTGGTTACTGGATTTGCTTTGTGAGTTTTGTAGGTGAAGAACCTCCGGAATCTTTGTTCATGAAAGAATTGAAGAGGCGAGGCATGACTCCTACTTCGTTGCTCGAGGGCTATGAAGTTGACGAGGAAGTAAAAGTCGGAACAGAAGCTGGTGATAGCTCCAAGAGCAATGCAGCTCCTTCCGCATTTGACCAAAGCTTATCGAATCAGAGGGAACGGTCAATGGCCCTGAACAGTGAAGGGCTCGAGGTCAGATTATCTAAACCGATTACTTCATATGTTAGTTCCTTCATTGCCACAACCTGAATTTGTTCCAACAACCCAAAAGAATGAAACCGGCAGATGTTTTCAGTCTTCAATGGACGGAAATGACTTAAAATTTACGGCCTGCTACAGCTGAGTTGCGATTTATTTATTTGGAAGAATATTTACGCATGTTTGATTACGAGATTACATAATCCGAATCTTCATTTCATAACTCTGCTTAGCAAGTTTTGTTCTTGCTCTACTTAAGATCGTTATCATTTGCAGGGTTTAATCCCTCGGGGCAAGCTTTTACTGACGATCGGAGGAACTTTCTTCTTGGGGTTTTGGCCATTGATAATTGTAACTGTGGGACTTTTCTCCGCCCTCTATCTTGTAAGTTTGCTTACCCGACTTCTCTTACATTCCCTTACATGTCTCGGCTCGACTCATTTTATCCGTTTTTAGGGTCACAAAATCTGCATCTTCGAACCTTTCATGAGTAAAATGATTAGAATATGGTGTCCTATTTTAAAATAAGAAATGCGAGTTTCCTTTTAACCGATTTTGGCATAAAAATTTTAGAAAGTGTAATATAGTTTCAAGTGGTTAATAACATTTCAACTATTTTTTTTGTTGGTTCTGGAATGTGGTAGTACTTTGGAGCAGATTTCGTCCACGACGCAAGCAGAACTCCGATCTCGCCCCCTCAGTACATCGACCCGTACACACTTCTGGAGGACAAAAGAATATCGGACACCGCCCCTCTTATAAATTAGCCGACATATCTCTGTCTTTCCCCTACAGATTAGTAGTATAGATATAACACTAGTATGTTATATGACCACTCTTTTTGTTGATTCTTTATCAATGTATATTCCAAACGCTCGAAAACATGTTCGGCATATTCCCGCAACTTGAAAAGGTTCGGCAAACATCTCTCTAGAAAGAGGTCGGACCATCCCCCTTGCCTCCCTTTCGAACTCGAGGGATCGGTTCGTTCTTCTGAAGGTGGATCGAGGCAATCGAGAAATTCGCCTTGACTAATCCAAATAGCATTGTGTCTTTATAGTTAACAGTGATGGAGCCGACTTTGGCATGCGGAAAGAGGCGAGCGCGTGCGGGAAGGAATCATCGGGACAAAGGTTAGATATCTGTTGAACAATCCGTGTTTGGTTGCGGTTTTATAGATAGCCCGCATCTATTGGCGTCCCGAGGGAGTTGCCCGAGATTTCGCTTCTCAAGGCACGTATGGCTAATGCGGGAGAATGCTGACAGAATGCAGGGTTTTACCTGATGTGTTTTTTCAAATGCAAAGGAGATACGTTCACGAAAGGGGACGCACGGTTCAGGCTGGTTTAGGTCGGAAGCTCAGTGCTGGGAGAATGCCTAAAGATGCCGTAGAAACAAGAAGAATCATATATTCGAATCGATCGAATATTATTTTATTTTTAACAGCAAAGTAAAGCAATTTTTACATTTTTACAAACTTGGAAATAATCGAAAGAGGGACAATGCCAATTATCCAATCTCCGCTTAGGTGAGAACCGTCTCTACGTACCGATTATTCGGTGGTTATCTTATTATAATATTTATTCATTTAAATTTGTTAAAAAAACAATATAAATTATTTGTTTGATGGAAAAACATATATATTTAATTAATTTTTCATAAAAATATACTTTCCAAATATATTGGTATTTTCTTATAATTTTTTCATGTTTATATTTTCTAGTTTATCTATTTATATTTTATGAATAAATTAATCTCATTTAAAAAAATAATACGTTTTATTAAAAACAACCATATTTTATTAAAATTTTCATATATCTCATTTTGAATTATTATTTTTATCATAATTGTTTTATAGTTATTTTCTAGTTTATTTATTACTATTTTATAAATAGTAATAAATCTCATTTAAAATATAACAATAAATTTTATTAAAATAATTATATTTTATTAAATTTCTCTTATCATTTCATGTTGAATTACTCATTTTTCTACTCTTAAGAGTTTTTTTTTTATTTAATTCTTATCATTTCATTTTGGATTACACATTTCCCTATTTTAAAAGCTTCTCATACCATTCTATAATATTTTATTCATAATCAATCAAAATTTAAAAAGCTTTCAAGTAATAAAAAGGAAAATTAGAAGAATAATATCTCAACTTATAAAAAATGTCAAATTAAAATTTGAACTTTTTTTTTTTTGCCAAATAAATCTTGTACTCTCTTCAATTCTAATGTTTTCCAACAACAAATCTGAACTTTCAAAATTATATATATCATATCTAATCATCAACGTTGACATGCCATTTCAAAATTCGTTCAAAGTCAGGATTGACATATCATTATTCAAAACATAATATCAACGTTGATGGTTAAATATGATATAATTTTAAAAGTTCGTGTTTATTTGTAGAAAACACTAGAATTCAAGAAAGTTTGGGGTTCATTTGAAAAGAAAATAGTTCGGGTTTTATTTTAAAAAATTTGATAAATTGAGGTGTTATTTTAATTAATTTCCTAATAAAAACCTATAATCACAATAAATAACACAATGATACGGATCGATTGTGATATCATGGTCGAATATAGGGAATATGATCTAATAAGAAAAGACAATGAAAGAGAGGGTGATGATGGTGGTGAAGTAATAGAGTCAAACAAATCAAATAAACAAAGAAAAGATAATATGATACGCACACTTTGGAATCGAGAACAATCATACAATAGAGATTTGTAAAAGATTTGAAACTCATGTTATGACAATTAATCCAGGAACTAAAGTATAGATATAGAAACCATCTTTCCATTCGAAATTCACTATCAAAGAATAATCTGTCAATTCACGGTCTATTCAAATTACCCTAAGATGCATTAAGATCGTTCATCACTATCTAAAGCCGTGACCTAAATTTCGATAGTCCTACAAATTCAACCTTAACTTTCCAATCTTTTGGCTAAAATATATAATCAATCAAACAAAGTATCTACGTTGCATAAAGCATTAAGAATCATCCATAGATATCATATTAAAATTCAAAAGCAAGAATCCAACATAAAAAAACATGGCAAAAATCCTATATGTATAAGATAGAATCCACCGTTAACGAGTTACTCATAATGAGTTACAAATACAAATCTAAAAGATAGAAAGAAATCATGGATGTAAAAGAGAAAAAGGTTTAGCCAATTCTTTGGTCTTCATAATCTTTGTTTTCTAACCTTGAATCTTCATTTTCTAACCTTTTTTATGTTCTAGGTAACCAATGGAATATTAAAAGATAGACAACTAGGATTGAGTCTAGGTCAAAATCTTCATGAAATCTGAAAAAAATCGCAAAGTTTCTTTTTTTTCTGGAGTCGGCGTTTGATCAAATCCTTCACAAGCGCTTGGTCTGAACATAATTTCTGTAACAACCCAGAAATTAAAAAAAAAAGGATGATCGATCGATCGTCCAGAGGCGATCGACCGATCGTGAACAAACACGATCGACCGATCGCGACACAACGATGGCGCGATCTTGGTCGGAAAACAGAGTGACAGCGACGGCTAGGGGACGAAATTTCCATGCCGCCTCTACCAACTCCGCACTCCTGTCTCTAGCAGCCCACAGTCCCACACGTAGTCGAGTTCTCATTTATAAAACGAGTCTTCGTTACCTCTCCTCGGCGCGAAGAGAGACTAAGAAAGAGAGACCTAGAGACAGAGAGGGAGAAGGGCCGATGAGTTGTCGTGACATTGTCGGAGAACCAAGCTTCTGCACCTCGAAAACAACAACACCAGCCTCCCTACTCCGAGAACCACCGTCGGAACACCGTCGAAATTCTGTGAGTAGCTCGGTTTTGGTTTCGCAGATTTCGATTTCGTTTTGGATTTGTAGAAATTGGCGTTTCTAGGCAAAATATAGACATAGAAATGATGGGTTAAGTGTGAGGACGAATTTGACATAAGATTTGGGAGAAACCGGCAAGGAAATTGGCGGAATTCCGATTTACAGTCACGGGGATCGACTAATCGTCGAAGGACGATCGATCGATCGTGCACGCGATCGACCCATCGATCGCGAGCGATGGCACGATCGCGTAATGCACTGAAAAACAAAGAAGACGACACACGATCGACCGATCGTTGAATGACGATTGACCGATCGTGTCGTTTAAAAAAAATGAGTCTGAGACGACCGACCGAAGCCAAAATTTAACACTCCATTTGACTTCTACAGACCCAGAGGAGCTCTAGCAAGTTTTCTACCCATCACCTAACCCGCAACCCGGAACCCATAAGCATAACCGAGGTGAGTGAATTCAAGTTTAATTCGGAAGTCTGTTGACATGGGGTTTTGGATTTTGAGTGTTTCTTGATTGATTGATGTTCGATTCATGTTCTAAATTGAAATAAGAATTCATGTATGTTTGTGTGAATTTTGTGAAAAAGAGAGAAATGTAGGAATATACCGAAAATACGGGTCAGACCGGACCACACGTGTTGTATCAAAATTAATGAACAAGTAAGTCTAAATACCACAGAATGAACCAACTAGTTATTCGGGCAGACCAGGACTAGACAGGTCAAACTAGCGGTACAATTTGGTAATATAACTTAATATACCGAAAAGAAGTACTTCAATGATTATAAGGAAAATTAAAAGACTATGCAAATGGAAATGCATGTATAGTAAATAAACTATATAAATGCGTATGACTGGGTAGCTGGCATGACGTTAACGTTAATTCGAAAGGGTTCGGATTAATGTCTGGTGCGTGATTGTAGAAAAGGGATGTATGTGGTTGGAAGCATGATCATTGCGAGATTGCGTCCCATCCATGGAACATCCGATCCGGGTGGATGCCAGCCATATGGAATATGATTGTGATTGAGGAGATGACATAATCGCGTCAACGTCCGAACGATAGGATGGGTATGGGCACCCCGATGACTTGCGTAGATAGCTGATTGTAGTCGGCACTATTGCGTGACGAGAAAATACGGTTCTTGGTAACCGTGCCAACGTATCTGCTAGCGACAGAGCAGATTCTGGGATATGATTCTCCTGAGGATGAGGCACTACACATATCTCAGATTCGGGTAGATTGGGTCTCCCGAGGAGGTGGTACGGACTTACTCTGCCAGGTTCGGACACAAAACTGACAAGTATTTCCGCAGCGAATGGTCGACGAGGGGGAGTTGCAGCGACTGGCTCTCCCATTATAGTCGATGGCATCGGTTGTAGCCGAAGTCTGGTGAACTCCGGTGTTGAGAGGTGACATCAATACCGGAGTGAGGTGACACGCCTAGTATCGAGAGGTGTCATCGATGCTAGGGTGAGACGATGTATTCGGGCGGAGAAAAATATAAGTATGCCAGATCCTGGTGATTGTGGTGTAGATGGATTCCGCGGAGAGAGGTGGTTGTGCTATGCACATGGGGAGTATATTACCTATGCATGTGGCGCGTAGAGACGATTTGACGGACCACGTCCTACGACTTGTCGTACGGACTTGATTGTGATTGCTGACGTGATTCTTGTGATTTCATATTTCGATTCATGTTTATTAGATTATTAGCATATATATATATATATATATATATATATATATATATATATTTT